AAACCTTGTGCATTATTTTCTATTCTTTGCATGACAGTTTTCTACGTGTGGGGCATTATTCTTTTGTTATCTTATATCTGAAGAAATTCCGTAAACTTTGACCACAATGTACTACATAAGTCAAAGATTTAATAATTTCAATAATAAGGGTACTTATTTTTTTATTAGTATTTAGAATTTTAGATATGTCATTAATTTATTATATTTTTGAAATATTTTTTTAAAGAGGTAAGAAAAATAAAAATAATAAATCGTTATAATAGGAAAACTTTAATTAGAAGCCCTAGTAATGAAAATAGGAAATAAAATAGAGTTGTTCAAGTATATTGTCTAGACTACAAGAAACTAAGCATCCAACATGCGATTCAATCAACCGATTATTGATTATTTCCTAGTAGATGATCAAATATGCCAATTATAGAAGAGAAGAGATTCGGATGTACGTCAACTAGAGCTGTCAGTTTCTGACCCGAACCGTTAAACCCGACTGTTTCGAACCGATCCGAAAAGGAACTGAACTGTTTAAAACCCGTTTTTTTGGAAACCGAAAACTGACCCGACCCAATTTTTTCCAAACCGAAACTGAACTAAACCGAATTTGTGCAAACCGTTACTAACCCGACCCATTATCAAGCCAAACCGTTACAACCCGAAACTGAAAGCAACCCAAACCGATTACGTTTAAACTCGATAGTAACCCAACCCGTTTTAAACCGAAAACCGTTAAAACCCGATAAAAATCCGATAAACCTAAATCGTTCCAACCCGTAACCCGTTGTGACCGAACCGGTTATAATCCGTAACCCGTTGTGACCGAACCGTTTACGACCCGTAGCCCGTTATGACCAAACCGTTTAAAACCCGTAACCCGTTATGACTGAGTCATTTACAACCTGTTACCCAATATGTTTATGATCTAATCTGTTTCAACCCACTACTCGATAAACCCAACTTATTTATGACTTGACTTGATTATAACATGACTCGTTCCTACCCATTATCTGACTAATTCAACTCGATAATCATCCGACTCAATTTTAACCCGATATGATTTTGATTAGAAACCCGTTTCAAATTGGGTAAACTCGTTTTCAAACCAACCAAGTTCAATCTAAACCGATTATAACCGAAACAATAATGGTTGGACCCGATTTCACCCGATCTATTTTGAACCGAAACCCATTTTCGAACCGACCCAGTTAAACCCAAATTGATTATGACCCGAACCAATTACGACCCGTCCTGATTAAGACCCGAACTGTTTTTAACCGAAACCCACTTTAAATGGGCTAAACCTGTTTTCAAACCGACCCAGTTCAACCCAAATTGATTATGACCCGAACCGACTAGAACCCGACCCGATAAGGACCCGATCCGAATAGAAACTGCAATTAAAAAAACCAAACCGAATTGACCCGATAATTTTCAAAACCGACCCAAACCGACCCGCTTATTATTTCAATTCATTATAAACCGACCCGTTATAACCCGAAACTGATAAACCCAACCCAACCCGAACTGTTTAACCGAATTGACACCCCTAACGTCAACAATTATATGATCAATATGACATACATTTTGGTACATATGGGGTCCTAGAATTCTTCCCAACTTAAGTGTAGGAGACATGCATGATGTATTGCAAATTGCGATTCTATAATTGCCGACCCCAACTCCTTGATAAGCTACAATCTATTTTTTTTTTTTTTCTTCTGTGTATACAACACTTCGAAGTCTTATATTGCACAATTAAATTGTTGTAATTAAGATGGAATATAAACTTATGTCAACTTTACACTCTATACAGTGTCAATCCCAATATTGTTTTGTATATGAAGCTTGGACCGATCAAGGTTAAGCACCTAAATCTAGTGTTATAGACTATATGTTTTATTTCCAATGTCCACATTTGCTCTATATAAATATATATATACCAATTACTCAAGCACAAACTGCTAGGTTTCGATCTTCAAATAAAGAGATCGATACTTATCAAATACGGAGCACTCCATTTCTTAATCATACTCACTTTTCCCCTACATTGATCTGAATTAAGCATTATTAAGCATTATATTGCATACAACTATACAAGTGATAGAACAATAATATTATAGAAAAGCACAATTAGCGGGGTTAAGATACCTACCTCATTTCCCTTGGCTTGCCGGAACACAACGTAATGGACATGTGTCGGTGGCATATTGTACAAATCTACCTTGAGCTTATTTTTCTATACACAAATTTGTTATAGAAATAATGTCATATCAATCGCTATTCATTTTTCTCTTGCATTTAATTTTCATGACTAGACTGTAATCCACTAACGTTATGTAGGAACTATCTTTTACCCTACAATACCCCCACCTCCACTCCTAGGAAAGAACAAAAAAAGGAAGCTAGTTAACTTATTAAATCAAATTTCATGCATTTTTTTATTTATAATTGGTAGCACTGTCAAAAGTGTTTTGACAGTTCGGTTTCGGTTCGGTTTGAAATCGGTTCGGTATTTAATCGGGTCGGTTTGGAATCAGTTTAATTGTCTCACGGGTCGGTTTTGGTTCGGTTTAAATAGTTATCGGTTTGATTCGGTTTCGGTTTATTCTTAAGCAGTTTTAATTCGGTTCGGGTTGTAAACAGTTCGGGTAGTAAACGGTTCGATACAGACGGGTTGCGGTTTGTTAACGGTGCGGTGTAAACGGTTTTTATCCCGGTTCAAACAGTTTCGGGTTGGAAACGGTTTCGGGTTAGAAACAGTTCGGTTCTTTTTTGGTTCAGTTTATAACTGGTTCGGTTCTTTTTCGGTTCAGTTTTAACTGGTTCGGTTCTTTTTCGGTTCAGTTTATAACTGGTTCGGTTCTTCAATTGTTTAACCACTTTAACGTTATTCATATCGGTTCCATTTCAAGTTTACTAAATTATAGTTGAATCAGAATTAAAACATAGCCTAATAGTATATTCATGTCACTAGCACACTCCCATCTTTATTTCATTATTACTCACAGAATCAATGTAATCATATGCTTAATAGTCTCTGTGAATTAATTTTATTTATTACGCCTTCAGCCAAGCCTTGGTACTTAATATTACAAGCTTTTTGTTCATTTGGTTTCATCACCTCAAATGTATACATGACTAGAGGCAGTAGTGTTGCTAATAGTTTGAGGCAGGGCCTGAGCCTGCTTGTTTTGCTCTTGTTTGTGAACACTAATTAACCTTAAGACCTTAATGAATGATTTGCCTTGCTATTTTAAAAAAAATATTCTAAGATTTCTAATATTTAATCCATTTAATTATATCCCCGTCAAAAAAAAAAATCCATTTAATTATATAAAAAAGTTTGTAAACGGTTCAATTTAGAAGCGGTTTGGTTCATAAACGGTTCGGTTTATAACCAGTTCGGTTTACAATCAGTTCGGTTTTTAAATGGTTCGGTGCAAACGGGTAGCAGTTTGCTAACAGTTCGGTGTAAGCGGTTTTTTTGCCAGTTTAAACGGTTTCGGGTTGGAACCGGTTTCGGGTTAGATACGGTTTGGTTCTTTTTCGGTTCGGTTTTCTTTCAGTTCGGTTTATATTCGGTTCGGTTTGTTAACGGGTTCGGTTCTTATACGGTTTAACATTATTCGGGTCGATTCGGTTTCGGGTTTACTAAAATACGGTTCGGGTCGGTTTTCGGTTTCAAAAAAATCGGTTTTTAATCGGTTCGGTTCTCATTTGGGTCGGTTGGTTTCGGGCAGTTAAACGGTTTCGGTTTGAAATTTGACAGCACTAATAATTGGACATCATAAACCATAGAGCCGTGCCAAGTTAATCTGCTAGAATAAAGAAATTTGTTTATTTGGAGTATAATCATGTTTTCAATTACCAAGTGTGGGCAAATGCGTAATTTGCTAAATAGACTTTTGGATGACTAAGGGTCTGTTCTCATTGACTGAACTCAGCTAAACTGAACTAAACTGAACTGAACTGAAATGAATATTTTATAAGAGAAGGAAATTAGGAGCTAACTGAACTGAATTGAACTGAATTTCAACGTATGAAAACAGACCCTAAATAAGGGTTTGTTCACTTCAGCTTAATTTCAATTCAGTTCATTTTAACTCCAATCAGTTCAGTTCAGTCCAGCTCCTAATTTTCTTCTCTCATTATATATTCATTTTAGTTCTATTCAGTGCAGTTTAACTCCAATCAGTTCAATTCAGTTCAGCTCAATTCAGTAAATGTGAACAGACCCTAACAGTATCAAAGGCAAGTTGCATAAAATCATTGGACAACTGTAAAAAGTACAAAACTGTTGGCCAAGCTTTTGCACATATTTACATAATATGCCGCCAAATTAACAAATTTTGTTAATCCGCCATATTAAACTGTATTTGACGTATATTTATGGGCCTCTAGTGATGGTTTTTTCATTAGCTTTTGACTTTTAACTTTATATCTTACTTAAATAGTTAAAAAAATATATAGGACTCCGTAAATGAGTTTTTTTTTTTTTTTTTTTTTTTTTTTTTTTTGCCATAAATGCAAAACTAGTTTTATTAGCTTTTTTGAATTGACTTTTGACTTTTGACTTTTCACCTTTACAATTATTTTTATCCTTGTTTTTCACTAATAATCAATAATTGATCATCAATAATTAATATTTTCTAGGTTCTTGTTCACTTGATTTACTTTATTTATCACATTGTCTATACATACATCAATATCTCAATTCTCAAAAAGAAAAAAAAAATATTTTGTATAAAAATTAGATATTGTTATGGTATCTATAACGACTCTACTAGATGTCACATTACTATATTTTTTTCTTCTATACGGAGTATAAATCACAAATATGATGAAATAAGATTATATAAGTAGTGTAAAAATTCAAACTATGTCAAATAAATAAATTTTTTTTTTTAAAAAAAGTAATTAATGATTAATAATTAATTTAATTAAGGTAAACAACGAAAAGCCAATTATCAAACAAAGCCCAAGTCTTCTAGATAGACCAATGCAATGCAATGCAATGCAATGCAACCACTCTTCCATTAATTTGGCACCTCAATACCATTAGCCACGACTACGCGCTTTTGCTACAACTATCAAATCTTACCCCACTTTGACTTTTCATTTCTATTCACTTGACTATAAAATCCACCCTTTGCCACCCCCATCAAACTACTCACTTCTACACTCCCTTTCTAACACCATGACACTCTACCACCCCTCATTCCTTGCAACACTCTCATCCATCCTACTCGCCGTTCACCTCGTCGTAACTCATACAAATTCATTACCATTACCACCATCACCACAGTCAAATCCAAACAACGCAACTGTGCCAGTATCTGCCTCGACCGTTTGCCAATCTACTCAATACCCATCTTATTGCAAAAACATCTTACAATCCGGTAACAATAATACATCTAGCAATGTCTATGAATACGGCCGCTTTTCCTTCAAGCGGTCCGTTTCACAAGCCTCAAAGTTCCTCAAGCTAATCAACAAATACCTCCACAACAGCCGTAAACTCAAACTCACACCCTCCGCCATCGGCGCCTTACAAGACTGTCAATTCCTAGCGGAACTCAACGTCGATTTCTTAAACACATCGTACAACGCCGTCAACACTAAGCTAAACAAAACACTCTCTTACACAACAGCCGACGACGTACAAACCTTCCTGAGTGGCATCCTCACAAACTTACAAACTTGTCTCGACGGAGTCAAATCCGTCGAGTCAGCTTGGTCATTCGACCGTGGCATTACCTCTCCTTTGTCAAGTGACACTAAACTATACTCCATCTCTCTTGCTTTATTCACCAAAGCGTGGATCCCGAAAAAGAAAAAAGGATCAAACCTAACCCCTCGTGGTAAAACCCATAAGGGTTTTTTCGGTAGTGGTCGTGGTGGTGGTGGCCGCATTCCCGGACTAAATATGTCCGAGAATGCTCGTGCCGTATTCAAAAAAAGCCTTAGCCGTCATCACGAGCGGTTACTCGCTAGTAACAACAATGACGATGATGATCAAGTGAATATATACGATGTTGTTACCGTAAGCCAAGATGGTAGCGGAAATTTTAGTACAATAAATGATGCAATTACTGCTGCACCAAATAAAACCGAAGAAAGTGATGGATATTATTTGATTTACGTTACTGCCGGAGTTTATGACGAGATTGTTTCCATTGATAAGAAGAAGAGGTATATTATGATGATTGGTGATGGTATTAATCAGACGATTATTACTGGAAATCGTAGTGTTGCGGATAATTTTACTACTTTCCAATCCGCTACTTTTGGTAAGTACACTTTCATTATTTTTACTTGTACTCCATCCATTTCGTAATAATGATCTTGTTTAATTAATGGCATTTATAACGAAAACTAGCTAAGCTAGTATGTATGTTAGGGTAGTTATTATTTATTTAATTTCATTGTTTGCTGTAATAATGCATGCATTTTTTATTGTCTATATGGGGATATTATGACATTATCCTTAAATACGAAATTTTATCACGGGTGTACACGAAATAATTAAAGACATCTTATGCATGAATGATGAATTATAGGAAATGCACCACATGCAATAAACTAATAATTCAATATGATAAACTAATTACTAATTTAATTTATTAATTTGATTTTGTGTATAATATGAAAAACTATAATAAAGTATGTTCATATTGTTCAACTTAGTAGATACTTCCTCCGTTTTTTACTACTTGACCCGCTTTGACTTTTACATTATTCACCACCCCTTCTTTGACCGTTTTTTATGAATAATATGTAAGGAAAAATATATTCATGTAGGATCTTTTTGGATTTGTCTCAATAAGTACTATCATCATATTAACTTTTATAATTTTTAGTTATAGAGAATTGAACTTATTGATCGTTAAAGTTTTACATTGATAAACGTAATAAAATAAACAGGTCAAGTAAAAAAGAATAGAGAAAGTAGTAGATAATGACATAATGTGGTATAAATGATCCCTATAAAAAATATGATTAAAAATAACAGATAAACATAAATTAAATGATATGCAGGCCACATTTAATAAGAAGGGATGGAGTTAAATTCATAAAGAGTAGCGTTAACTGTGAGGAGTATGTTGAATTCTCGTACTCCTTCACCGACACCAACTTGCAATAGCAAAGGGAGAAAACAATCCTGTCTCATTAAGTAACTTGTGCTTTGGTTTTGACTTTTGACAAACAAAGATATTTTTTGGAGGAATAACTGAATAAGATTCATAGAATCTTAAAGCAAATCTACCAATATCTTAATTTTGTAAAATATTTTGACACAGAGTATATACTTCTTCCGTTTTTTAATCGCTTTAATTGATATGAACCCAAGTTTTAAGAATATGACTAAAAGGTAAAGAATATCAAGTTTATCCGTATAAAGTAAACAAAAGAGAGAGAGAAATGTGGGGTTATAATTATTGTATTGTTAGGTGAATAAGGGTAGTAAAGTCATTTTGTGTGTACAAAAATAAAAGATACGGAGTAAATAGTAGTAAAACATACAGAGTATCAAATAAAAAAATTGTGCAATCAATATATTATAGAGTACTCCGTAGTAAAAACTTTGGAGAAAAATAGTGCAATTGGAGAATATATAATAATTGTACTCAATGCGAGTCTAAGATTTCAACCACAAGGGAAAGAACCATATCATAGAGAGGAGGAAATGGTTTTTGTTTTAGGAAAAATTACTCAATACTCATTGTGGTTCACTATTTTCTACCAATTCGAGAGCTCATTTGAAATCTTTTAAATGGCAAAAATTAAAATCATGGTCAAACATACCAAGAAGTAGAGGTGTTAATTCTGGTGTTCGGGTCAGGTTCGGTAAAGTCGGACAGGGTCAAACTAATTTTTAAACTTGATAATTGCTAAACTATTGTGTTTATGCAAGTTGAAATCTGAATCGAATATTAAAAATTCAAAATTTATGGTCAATTTTTTTTTCTCTCATTTTTACTACATCAATTACTGTAGGATGATAATGCACCATACTAGTATTATTGGATCTATTTTGTAATTTTTAAATAAGTTGTTAAAAACAATATGAAAAATGTCTTATACTCCCTTAATTTTAATCAGTAATAGTTAAACCAGTTGATTGGATATATATCAATGTATGTAAGCTAATTAAGGTACATTTTCATTTGTTATGCAGCTGTAACTGGAACAGGATTTGTGGGCATGAATATGACCATAAGAAACACAGCTGGTGCAATCAAACACCAAGCCGTAGCTCTAAGAAGCGGCGCGGATTTATCCGCCTTTTATAGTTGCAGCTTTGAAGGATACCAAGACACGTTATACGTACATTCCCTAAGACAATTCTATAGGGAATGTGACATATATGGTACAGTCGATTTTATATTTGGTAACGCAAATGTTGTGTTTCAAAATTGTAACATATACCCTCGATTACCCTTGGATAAACAATTCAACGCCATCACTGCACAAGGCAGAACAGACCCAAACCAAAACACGGGCATTGCTATTAATAATTGTGTGATACGTGCAGCTGATGATCTTGCTAGTAATAATGGTACGACTAAGACGTATCTAGGGAGGCCGTGGAAGGAATACTCTAGGACAGTTTATTTAGAGTCGTATATTGATAATGTGGTTGATCCGGCTGGTTGGAGAGAATGGGATGGTAATTTCGCCTTGGATACGTTATATTATGGCGAATTCAACAATTCGGGTCCAAGTTCTAATGTTACAAACAGAGTAAATTGGGCAGGGTACCATGTTATGAATGTTACAGATGCTGTTAATTTTACGGTTTCTACATTTGTTTTTGGAGATGAATGGTTACCTCAAACAGGGGTACCTTACATGAGTGGCTTGTTGTAAACATGATATATATATATTTAAGTGTCATTCAAAATTCTAATTTAGGTAGATTTTTATTCAATAATTACATTTAATTTTCTTTATCTATTGGTTATCTTTATTGACGAAGAAATAAGTTGTACTTTGTAAAATCGAATAGGAATTCGACAGTATACTATATACATATTGTTTTGTTGATACTCCGTCATACAAAAACATAAATAATTTTTACAATTGTACCAATGCATGCTAATAAATTTTATTTTGTAATTGTATTCATCTCAAAATGATGTAAATGTTTTGAGTTTGCTCTACCGTAAAAACGTATATTTGATTATTAAAATCATTATTAAAAATCTAACAAAACCTCAAGTGGCTATATAGTTCGTATTTTATACAAAGTGCCTCAGCTTAATGTTAACCATAAAAAGTCAAAATCAAGAATACTACTTTGGGATGAATTGATGAAAGATGAATTAAGAATTATTAGTAATTTTTTAGTGTTGTTGAAGGGCTAAAATAACTTTTCTGCCCAATTTTTTGTGGGAGTATTGAAAACACATTTGTTATTTGTTAGTTAGATGTCGAATTAATTAGGTTTTTATCTCACTAATTGATCAACTAAAGACAAATTTCAAAGTGCAATTAGATCTAATAAAAGGTATAATCTGCCTACTAGTTAAGAATAACTGAAAGATTAAAGAAAAATTAGGTAGATTTTACGAAGCTCGGAAAGAAAATCTAAGAAGCAGCCAAATAAATCGCCCGTCAAACAAGGACTCGTGAAATCTCTGAGTTGTTCCCAAGCTAGTGGAAGTATATAATGGACCTAAGCAATTTATTTAGTCCGAATGTTCGATGTCCCTAAATGTGATAACCGTAACTACCTGGAGGATCCTGGAGTATTTTCGCTTAAAGAAACCAAAATTTGTTTCTCATGAGGCATTTTCGTAAATAAATTAACAACTTTTTTATTATTATAGGCTCCACTGTTGAATAAAGTTATTGGTTTATTTACGTAAATGTCATGTTTGTTTCTCACCATGAGAAAATAGAACATCCTCCTATGCATTGCAGTACTGGTGAATTTCAAGCTAAATTAAGGCTAACTCACATATTGTACTCAATGTTTCATATAAATATTTTAATCAAGGTGATTGTTGATTAAATCTATGATGTAATTAGCTCTAACATGTTATATACTTGTGTTTGTTTTTATTAGATTTTTTAAGAATGATTTGTAAGTATCATTTGGCTATCTTACTACAATGAAATCTGTTAAATTGTGACTCGAAATCTAGTAGGGCTGACTTTGCATGCTTATATCTCTCAAACTACAACTGATTTTGAGGTGATTCAAATTGGAGGTGATAGCTTGGTTCAAGAGCTTTCCAACTATAGGTCATATGCCCAATTCTGATAAGAAACGAGAAAATTATGACCGTTTTAGAAAAACCTGACGAACCTGGAATGAAATTTGCAACGAGACTGCGAGCTATAGCTCTATGCGAGTGGGCTATAGCTCGGCCCTATGAGGACTTGCGGCAGGTATGAGCTAGCTTCCGAGCTATAGCTCGATAGTTAGGTTATTTTAGGATAACTTATGGAATATTTCCTAAAATTATATCTTTTCTATGACGGCTATTTGAGTATACTTGGGGAACAATTTTAGGGTTTTTTTAGGGTTTCCTTGTGTTTTAAAAGGACCTTTTAGTTGATCAATTAGATCATACCTTTTGAGCCATTAGATTTAAGACTCCTTAACTTGTATTATTCTCTTGCTCTTTCTCCATTATAATGAAGAAGCTCTCGAATCCCCCACCCGTGGATGTAGGTCTATTTTGATCGAACCACGTAAATCCTTGTGTCGTTTGTTTATCTTCTTTATTGTTTTTCTCAATTCTTATTTTTCATTGATTTGTTCCGCATTAATCAAATACAATTACACCCTTTTTTCCTAACAAAATCCTTTTTCTTTGTCTTAGTCTGTAGAAGAATAAACCTCTCAAGTATCACCACATGTAAGTGTCCCACATTGGTTGAAGAAGAGAGAGTTAAACACTTTATAAGGCTAAGGGGCTACTCCTCCTATTGCCATATGGTTTTGGGATGGAACCTCCTTGGACTTGTGAAGTGGACTCTCTCTCTTAGTTTGCGGGTGCGGCCCAGACCCGCGTTTGACATAGTCATACATAGAGGTCGAGTATTACAATTCGACGAGTGATTGTCTAATTTAGCTTCATGCACACATAATGTATTCATTCAATCCTCTCATTTAGCAAATGAACGAGTATTTTATTTTAATCTATCAAGCATAACTTTTATCAATAATGTGAATTCAAATACGTAACAACAAATAAATGAAGAGATCGAATTTTGATATTTAAGAAATGGGATTTGTTAAACATCGCCCACAAATTACTACATAAAGCCCACAAAATTCACTTGGTTTCCCAAAATTGCCCTTGACCTTAAAAAAAAAACACTCACACTCTCATCACTCACACTCTCATCACTCACACTCTCATTGCTCATCTTCTTTCAACCTCTCTAAAAAAAAAAATTCAAAATAACGGCAATGTCGAGGCGGCAAGGCAAGGAAGTGGCGGCGGAGGGAAGGATGTCCCAAGGTGGAAAGGTATATTTTGTTAAAAAAAAAAAAAAAAAAAGGGGAAAACCGCCGTGAACGCGGTGGGGCGCCCTGGCTGGACGCCCAGCCGGCGGTGGTGGCGCCAGATGCAGACGCCGCCACCAGTTGGCTGGCGCCTGGGCTGGACGCCACCGCCACGGTTGTGGCGTTTAGTCTAAGCGCCGCAGCCGTGGCTGTGGCGTCCAGCCCAAACGCCAGCCAACTGGTGGCGGCGTCTGCATCTGGCGCCACCACCGCCGGCTGGGCGTCCAGCCAGGGCGCCCCCCCCCCCCCCTTTTTTTTTTTTTTTTTTAATTTTTTTAAAAAATTGTTTTTAAATTTTTTTTTTTTTTTTTTTTTTTTTGTAATATAATTTTGAATTGTTTTTATATTTTGTTGTTTATTTTTATAAATTTTTTCAATTTCGTTGTATTTTTTCTACGTTTATATTTTGTTTACTATTATTTGTTTGTTTTTAGTGTATTTGATTTGCGATGATGATTATTTATCGTATAAATTTTTGTATGTTTATATATTTTAAAATTTTGTGTAGGGTCGTCATGGTGGGGGGAAGAATATAGAGCTTCTTAGTAGAAGTTATTCAGTGGAGAGGTCGGGGCATAGACATGTCAGATCCCGTGGTATTTCGGCCTCAGTTCGTAGAGAACGGATCCACCGTCAGGATGAGGATGACGATGACGATGATGATGCTGAAGAGGGTGACCAGGAGGAGGAGCAGGAGGAGGGCGCAGATGAGGATGAGGATGTGGACGATGGCAGTGGACCGTATGATGATTACGGTCCATTCAGTCAGAGGGTTGATGACATGTACGAGACGCATATGGTGGAGGTGCGTAAGGGTAGGGGTGGTAGGTTTGTTAGTAGATCTGGCACATCATCTGCGTCCACTGTCTCTGGGGCAAGCAGGAAACGGTCGAGGGCGGGTAATGATTCTTGGGTTGTTAGGAGTGAGGTGCCCGGTGGGCCTGTTGACGGGAGTGTGATTCCTAGCTTTCTAGGACACATAGCTGCCCGTATTTGGGAGGACCAGGAGAGGCCTTCAGTTACGGGGTTGTTGAAATGTCATACCCGGGAAAAGACTTGTAGTTTTTTGCGTACATGGGCTGAGGCCTGGCCGGCGGAGAGCGAGATGTTCGAGCGACTGGAGGGCACTGGGGTGAAGCACGTTCCTGCCACCATGCACGATAAGATTGACAGTACGCTGATCACGGCTTTCATTGAGCGATGGCAGCCGGATACAAACTCTTTTCACCTTCCGTTCGGTGAGATGACGATCATGTTACATGACGTCGAGGCCATTCTGGGGATTCGTGTTGAGGGTAAACGACTTTGTGCTGTGGCTGATGCGGATCAGGCAGATTCGCTGGCGGAGTTGTTGGCGGTGGACAGGGCTGCACTGTACACCGAGGCGCTAGGTGTTTGGGAACACGGAGGTGTGAAGATCGCATCTGTGTTGCAGCGGTGTTTGTACCCGAGTGCACGTAGGACGCCCGACGCACAGCTGAGTGCTTATGTTTTTCTACTCCTCGGATGTACCTTGTTTCCGGATAAGAGCGGCGGAAACAAGCTCAGGCCACGCGACATCGTAGAGGCGTGTGACCCCGACAGTGTAGGCCAGTTTTCCTGGGGATCGGCTACGTTGGCGTATTTGTATCGCCAACTAGGATTTGCGAGTCGGGCTGATGCGGCAGGTATCACTGGGTGTCTGACTCTATTGCAGACTTGGATATACGAGTATTTTCCTGCATTGCGACCACATCGTGACCCAGTTCCTATTGATGAAGGGATGCCGCGTGCTTGTGCGTGGAGTCCCCGCTCGGAGAAGAAGTCCGTTGACCGCCTCCGATCGATACGGTTATTGCTGGACAGGCTGTCCCCCTTAGAGGTAACGTTTATTTATAGAGTCTACATTTTATTATTTGCACATATTATATTCATGTTATTATATTTTATATGTTGTAATTGTACAGGTGAACTGGATGCCTTTCGGCCCGAACCCTAGTGTTAGGGTACCCAGGACCCTGTACACGGGACTCATTCAGTATCGTGACATCGTCGAAGCGTACATGCCCCAGCGTTGTCTTCGCCAACTTGGATTTGTCCAAGTTGTCCCTCCTCCCCCGGCGTGCCCGATGAAGGCGGTCCGACCTGCATCGTCGAGGGAGTACGTCGTGGAATGGCCGGATATCATGACCGGGACGTGGGACCAGTTTCCGATGGTGGCTCGATTATGGACAGCGGAGTTGCAGCGGCCGCCCTCTGGGGTTACTCCCATGTGTGACCATTACTACATGGAATGGTTCAACCGGTATTCGCACCCGAGGTTGATCGCTGATCTCGACCACAGCGATGATGATTATGTGCCACCGCCTACTGCCACGGAAGCGGTATGTCTTTTATTATATTTATCGTTGTCTTTTAATTAAGTTTTATTTGTTGTTATTGTATTTCATCTTCTGTTTTTTGTTGTATGCAGTGGATGGGAAAGATAATGCAAGACGTTCAGAAACTCTCTCTTGAGAAGGACAGCATGAGTGCAACAGGGAGAGCTGTTGTTGATAGTCTGGAACAGACCCTTGCGCAGTGGGAGTCGTCGTCGAGGAGGGATTACTGATGGTTATTGTATTTTATTTATAGAACATTATGTTGGACATTATGTTGTAAAATTGTAACATTTTAGATTGTTCTTTTAGCTTCCAACTTAAACATATTATCAGTGCTGTTTTTAAATTTTGATATAACCGTTCGTGGATCCGCGCAACTTACCCATGCAACATATAGAATGCAGTAAGCAATACAATATAAAATATTAATGTTCTCATTAAAAGAGCAACGTACAAATAAGATTACAAATAAAGAATGTAAACAAGAAAAACTAAAATGCAGCTAGGGTGTTCCATTCGTGGATCCGGTCATTATATAGCGCATCCCAACCCTCTACGCTCGCTGTGCGAATGTTGTACCACCGAGGTATAATCGGTGGCACCGGAAAATCGGTTGACATGTCTAGTCGGATGAAATGTCTGTATGACGACCCAAGAAACGCAATAGCTAGCTCTCTGACCGGTGTGGTGACAGTCTCACGCGACCGCCAAGGGAGAACCGTGGTACAAGGATAATAAGCTTGACTATGCACTCCCAGGCCGAAATGCATGACTGCGCATTTGTAAATGTTTGCAACGGCAAACAGATCTAGGGGCGCGTCAAAATAATGATTTTCGCCGCAAGGTCCACCTCCCCACCGGATACGTCGGAGAGCGCCATCCAAGTCATCCTCGTACACATGACGATAAACATTTCGGTTAGAGGCAATTTCGTTGTACATCAACTCACGCACCAAACCGTAGTTGTCTTCGCCCATTTGAAAAACATCAGCCACGACCCGGAATCCGCAGTTACCATCTCCGATTACATCATTCCACCCTTCCACGTACGACATGATGATCGCAGGTATCCTTTCCTTGTACGGAAACTGATCAACATCGTTTCTTCCTATTCACCAAATAATTAATTATAGACAGTTAAGAAGACAGGAGTAACACTTTAAAACTATGTGCAATAAAAACAACCAAAACGTACCAGTTCTCAGGGGCATATTCACAGACGATGAAGATTGACTACGACTAGATGACGATGTCCGACCACGAGAACGACCACGACCATGACCACGGATATACTCAAACGCACTCCTGTTCCGCCGCTGTCGACCTCGAGGACGGTCAACTCCTTCGGGTTCCTCATAATCTAAGTTAGACGGGTGGAACATGTCATGAAGCACATGAGTAGCGTCACGAATAATAGAAGGATGGCTGGAGGACACTCGGTCGTACATCGAACGGAACTGCTCCAACTCTTCCTGTTCACGGTCGGCCGTTTGATTGTCTGCATGCTCACCAATAACAAGCGTCCTCCAGAATGAATGGACCTGATCAACATGTAACGACGCCCTTTCTTCTGTAATAACGCGATGAATGGTGCATGCGCAAGGTAATCCATGAGTTACTGAAATAGTACACCCACACCGAGTATACACTTCGTCAGCCAAGTCCCTCACCCTGTTCAGCTCAGTGAGAATCAACCCCAAGCAGTAGTGCGACACACGACCATGGAGAATCTTAAATATAAAATGGCTATACATCGTACCATGTCGTCGTCTGGAGTCCTCTAGAGAGTTCCTGATGTCGTTCTTCTGAGTTTCAATTGACTTGTTCAGTCTAGCGAACAGTGTATCCAAAGCAGCGGTCGATGAATCAATCCAGTCCTTGGTAGCTCTATGAGCGCTCTCAACTCTACATGTTGTAGTGTTCCCAAAATGAAGTACCTGGTTTGTCCAATATTTGACAAACTTTTCCCTGTGAGGGACCCATTGCTGCATCACATAGTCCACCAGTGCCGGACACCACTGGTACGAATCCCTGAAGTTAGCCAATGCTCGCTCATACGCTTCCTCTGTGGTAGCCTGTAGGATCTTCCGCCACTTACCATTCACCAATCTCTCTGCCATTTCCAAATTCTTCTTGAAAAGGTTGTAGGCTTTCACTTTCACGCAGTTGTTGATGTGCCATGTGCACAATAAGTGGTTCGATTCGGGAAACAGCTCTGCTATGGGGGCAAAGAGACCTCCCTCACAGTCGCTGACGATGGCTGCTGGATGAACATTAGGCCCGATGTAGTTTCTCAGCTTCTCCAAAACCCAATAATAACTTGGAGCCGTCTCATCCCTGATGATTGCATGACCAATCAGAAAGTTCTGGTTCGTTGGAGCCATCCCAACCATCTCAACCAGAGGGAACTTGTACTTGTTTGTCTTGTACGTTGAGTCGATCAAAATCACAAATGGCCAAGACTTGATCATATCAGCACAATCAGGATGCACAAGGAAAAGATGAGTCACCTCCGCTGTATCTTCATCAGAATCAAACCAGAACAGGTAACCACGTGATTGTGCCTGGTGTAGCAGCTGCTGTATAGGGTTCCTTCCCTCTGACCGTTCAAACCTGAGTTGCTGTCTGACGTTGTAGATGTGTCTTCGGTTTGGATGGTCTTCTGGAAATTTCTCTAACACAGATGCTAATATTTTAGCAGGCTTCACTTGAGCATCACTCATTTCTTTCACAACTAGTTTCGCAGCAGGACTTAAGCCGCTCAGTTGTCGATGACCCTCTTCATATACTATCATCTCATGGTTGTGATACCCCCATTTAGAGTAACCTATCACTTCCCAACCGTCACGACTCCGTAGTTGTCGAACCTTTACTCTGAACTCACACCCACAACCTTTCCGCTTTGTGTCAAACCGAGTGGTTGTACGAAAATCTCTTTCTTCTCGTTTGCGATAACGGTCACATCTCAAAATGCGATCCATTCTACCATCCCGTTGAGATTTATGAGTTGCTACTACCAAGCAAAATCCAGCTGCAATTGCAACCTGTTTTGCCCAATCAATCGCCTGTTGAGCTTCTTCGAATGGACCATCATGTCCAAATATCTCACTGTAATCATTTCCGTCTCCACCATATTCCTGCATCAATTATATATTACAATAAATACATTTAACGGATAATACATTTAATTTCTATATTTCCACATAATTAACACAAAAAAAAAACATAATTATATATAATCAAACTTAATTTTTATAAAAACCCAATTCGAATTTTCAAACTAAATTTAAAAATATACCATTTCGAATTTTCAAATTTAATTTTAAAAAAACCTATTTCGAATTTTCAAATTTAATTTACAAAAAACCCATTTCGAATTTTTTTAAAAAATCATTTTCGATTTTTTATTTTCACAAAAAAATTAAATAAAAAACAACAACAAAATCAAAAAGGAAAAAATAAAATTTAATTATTAAAGGTGGCGTCTGCCAGGGCTGCCACACCCACTGGACTGGCGCCTGGCAGGGCCGCCTCACCTAGTGGAGTGGCGCCTACCCAGGACGCCAGTCTGGTGGTCCGGGCGTCTGGGCTGGACGCCACTCTGGTGGTCTGGGCGTCTAGCCTGGACGCCACTCTGGTGGTTCTGGCGTCCGGCTTGGACGTCCAGGCTACGGTTTGGGCGTCCACCCTAGGCGCCGTAGCCACTACGACGGTAAACCGTGAATTTTAGCGGTCACTTACCTCGTTTTTCCGTCGACGACGACGTACCTCCGGCGTCCCCCGCATCTCCGGCCTGCCATCCGGTCTCCCCCGACGAGCCAATACGGCTCCACATTTTTTACACCGAGATTATCTCAATTTTAGCAAAAGGGCATAATGGTCAAATCATAACATATTTGTGGGCTTTATGTGGTAATTTGTGGGCGATGTTTAGCGTTTCACTAAGAAATTCATAAATCTATTACAAACTAATGTTATTCGGTAACATATTTACCACATTGCCAAAACATACACACTCAACACGACACGACACAACAGTACAACACAACAAAGATGAAAATAAAATAAAAAAAGTTCTAACCATAAAATATTCATGTACGTTTTTACTGTTTCTGAGCCAAAGCATTAACAACAGCCAAAGCATTAGAACAATGTTGCGCAAACACCTTATTCTTGTCACCCATAATATCAACTGCATTTCCCTTTTGAAGGCTATCTTCACAACTATTTGCGTTATTCATCACGGTTGTCATCCAAGTGTTAACATCTTTATAAGCATTAGAGAAGAAGGCCACCAACGAGTCCTCGAGTTGAGCCATTGCATCGGTGTACTGATCGTTGCAATCGGTCAAGGCTTGCTCGATCCCAGGCCCCATCGACTCTTGGTCCTCAAGCTTGTCACCAACCCATGTAGCAATTTCTGACCCTAGAGACTTAGTCTTGTTTAGGGACAAAAATGCCAATTTCTTCATGTCAGCCGTTTCACTCTCTGGTTGTGACTTTAGGGTTTGGGTGCATGAATCTTTGTATTGTGCGTTAGCACACGCCTTTTCGATGAGGGGATTCGGTGTGCTGCCTTTGTTGGTTGGGCTAGCGGTAGGAACACCGCCTCTTACTTTTAAGGCCATGGCTACATTTTGTTGTAGGATCAAACCAATTGTATTAAGAAAACGCGCTTCATTATGTGTTAGTACGAGTTCTTTTTGTTTGGTGTTATGATTTGGTTTAAATGTTTTCAAAGATGTTGTATGTTTATGCCTTAGGTATAATTTAAGGGTAATAATTTAGTTTAGGCAAGTTGTTTATTAGCTGGTTATTTTGATTGAAGAGAAGAAATTTGGTGTATCTTGTAAAATTGTATTTAAAAGGAATGGTGAGGAGAAATATAAGGGTCATCGCTATGAAATTTGCTATTATAAGAATGGGTTTATTTTAGGTTGTTTGCTTGTCTTGCACCAATACCACCTTAGGGACACAATTTGTGTTTTAAGTCTTTGGACTATGATTGTAAACTTGTATGTTTGTGTCCTTTAAACTAAAAATGCATAAAGCTTATACAATCGGTCAATAATTTCATCCATTTCTAATTAGTAGCATCATTTTCCTAAATTGAGCATGGCGTAGTAGACACTTCAATTTTTTATTTTATTTTTTTTTTTTTTTTTGGTAAATGATGTTTTTTTTTTTAATTTTTTTTTAATATAATGACCTATATATTCGTGCGATACAAGTGGAGACCGATTTCTATTTGACTTGGCCATCGCTTGTTTTATAGAGCAGTTCACCTTAGTTTGACTTATTTGATCTAATCATACTTATTTTTTTCTAATCATAATTTATTTTGATTTCTTTTGATCTAATCTGAATGCCTAATTTGATTGAACTTTAACCTTATATGTACGCTATTTCAGTTCATAAGAAAAACGTACGAAGTACATCAAATGGTGTATTATTAGATTTGTATTAATGTGTGTTTTTCAAATATGTAATTTTCATAATTTTTTACTATGAAATTATAGATATTTGGCAATGAAAAATCGCACAAAAAACAATATGGTATGTTTGAACTTATTCATTTCTAATCTGAACAATTTTTTATATGAAGTGAAACAAGTAATAATATAATAAGATACGAAGTATTTAAGAAAAGTTTAACTAAACATAACCCTTATTAATGTAATTTTTTTTTTTAACTTACAATGCCTTTCTCATGCCCCTTCTTTTTCACTAATTAAATTATTATATGGAGTACTAAATTGAAACGATAAGTATTAAAGATCAACTACTTAATTAATTCATGAAATTTTGTGCAATACTAATATTTGTTATGTAACTTTATTTAATTTTTATTTAATTATTATTATTATTATTATTATTATTATTATTATTATTATTATTATTATTATTATTATTATATAGAGGATCTTGAGTTATTGACCAATCAGACCTTAACCATTATAGTTTTTGGGCTAGCTAGGCACTTGGGAGTTGTGTGGAAGGTAAGCGAGTTCCCTCCCCCAAGTACCTAAACTTGGCAGGATTTGAACCTGATCTTCAAGGATTTAAGGTAGGAATTTTAAATTACCAAGTTAGCCTACATGTTGTTGGTTGATGTTAGATAGAGATGACTTTGTGATGAACTACACTTTGTAATGTTGCAAGGAACTGCATGCTACTATTTGCATCGCTTCCTTGTGATACTACTCTCTTTGTTTGATCAGACATGTTTGTCAATAACTTTTGTTGGGTATGGCCCAAATTTTATGGGCCCATTATTTTTGTGGATCGGAGTATTGTGCATATTCTAGAAGCTTACGGAATTATCAAGCAAAGTCTTTACTTGATCAGTTGTTCATGATTTCTCTAGAACAATATTACATACTTGAATGTTGTAGAGCATTATACATTGGATGCTATTAGAATATAATACAAGGTTCGTGAATTTTCTAGAACATCGTGGATACAAGTATGATGGAGGAATTTCTGGAATATTCCGGCCATAGAAATTCCGGTCATTTCATCCAAGCTCCATCCACACCTATAAATATAGGTCATGGGCATTCAATCATTCAATATACACACATAATTAGCCATACCATACACAAGTCTTCCTACTTTAATATTAACCCTTTTAATAGTTCTTGTACTCTCCTACTTATCTTGCCTTAATCTTTCTTCTAAATTTTAAGGATAACATTGTGAAACTTGTAACTAACCTAACAAATTATTGCATGATAATAATTATATGAGTCAAAGCCACTAAATGACTAATCCAAATACTCACTTTAAAAATATAAAAAGTAATATCTCAACTCAAATTTTGAGGCAATAAGTAACCAGGAGATAAAGTGATCCTATATATTAGTTATATTATTTATTAGAATTTGAAATAATAATTTTGCAAATTATTTTAATGATGGTTGTTTTCATATTGTTATTTGAACCCTAATACATAAACAATTTATTGATAGTGATTTATTGATTGTTATTTGATTGATTTATAATATTTTTTAGAATTAAAGTTCTCTAACACCAATACATCAAATCAGAATAAAGTAGATTAGAAAATGAAAACCAAACCAAATTAGATCTTATTGAAATAGTTGATTTGGGTGAAGGCGTGAAGAGAATTGAATTAAAACCTTTGGTAGAATTTGTACGTTGTTAATGTTGTGATGAATTAATTTGATTGTGATAATGACCGACGTAATTAAACGAGAAGGGTTTGTGCGGATTAAAATGTTGCCAATAATGTGGGGTTTTTCATTTGATTTTATTGGAAACAAATCAATTTATTTGCATGGTTTTAAAATAAATAGATGTGTTAAGGAAGTTAACTCTGGAGAAACTTAATTGTAGGATACCTACTTCTAGCCCGATTAACCACGCTAGCAAAATCTTTCAAACGTCATTTTATAAAACCTACATATTTAGAAAAAGGAAAACATATTTATCACACCAATGTGGAAAAAAGATATTTAGTTGTAAAATACAAACTAGCTATTATTTAGTTGATTATATCTTAATATCTAGACACAAAAAAAAAATGATGAATGTACGTGATTTCGAATTATAAAGTGTAAATGCTCACAAATAATTATTATACCTTCAATGTGTACAAAACCTACCTAATTCTCTTAAAAATATGTATATAAACGGTTCAAGTCTTAATTTCTTAAACATTGCAAACTACAATCCCCTCCTTCCCCCTCTCAAATGAAAGAGAATACGAAGAAAACAAGACTTTGGTATTTAATTTCACAAGATAGTTAAGCTAAACAAATAACTATTCATCCAATTTGTTATATCAATAACCAATATATCATTAACCATTACTTCAATTTTTTTTACCACCACCAACTGCCTTCTGCTTAGAATTGGCTGAAACGTAACGAGTAACAACATCAACAATGTTGCCAAGTTCTTCAATATCCTTGTAATTTTCGTATAAACCAAGCTTTTCGCCACTAGTCCCTGCCTTAGTCAATTCATCTTCACAATGCTTAGGGTAAAATTGAGCCATGTGAGTAAACTTCTCAGCGGTCGTGCCATAGTTGCTAGATTTAAGCCCTACGGCGTACAACCCTCTTAACTCATCGTTCATGTCTAGGTACAATTTCACGCAATGTGACAACGCCTTTTTAACTTCGATTTTAGCATCATCTTCACGCATTTCTTTGCGTGCCTTTATAGAGGCGTGTCCAAACTCGCTTTGGGCATGCTTTACTACTTTGTCCGAGAATTTGCTAGGCTTCACATCTTTTTTGTCACCTCCTAGGGACTTAAGGACGGAAGTGCACTTATCACTCACGGTACTAGCCTTGCAAGCTTCATCAATGTTAAATACCTCGTCCTTGCCATCTGCGGCGCTAGGTGGGGTGAGCTTTGGGACGTTCGTTTGGGTTTCGTCGACGTTATAATTAAGTTTTACATGCTTAGCTATGCAAATGGTGAAGAGGGTTAGAAGAAAGAATGAAAGAGCTTGAAGCTTCATGTTATGTTATATGGATATGTTTTCCTAAGGAATAATTTGGTTCTTTTTGTTGAGAATTTATTGAATGAGTTTTTCAAATTTGAAGGTTGCCTATCTAATTATTATTGGATATGTAATATATGAAGTATGCTAACTTGAGAAATTTAGAGAGAAGTCCAAGGCTTGCCATCAATGATTTTCCATAATTAGGATGTTAGTTTTTAAAATGGATGTTAATGCAATTGGTGAGAAAAATAGTCTATTTTGTCAGAAAATTATTGAATCTAACATTGGTTTGAAGCTTATAATTTCACCTTATTATTAGGGATATGTATAAACCAATTATTAGTAAGTTTAATCAAACTAAAAACAACTTTCTAATTCTATGTATAATCAAGTTTCAATTAAAACAAAATTTTAAATGAGAAAATAGAACAAACCCATTTGGGCCCTTTTTTATTTTTATTTTTTTGAAGGAAACCCATTTGGGCCCTTAGATTAACATAACCAAACAACACTCCTGGGTCATTAATGAAAATTTTGAAATATATTGTATTCATAAACTGGATTTCTGTACCAATTAAATGAAAACTAGTAAAAGTAAACAGAGTTGCTTTACAAGTAGTAATAGGAAAATTTTTAAGTTACAAAATCATGAAATTATCATTAATGACACAACTATCATGATCCAACATTCAACATAAATCAAAAGCCAAACATGCATGTATTTCACAAAAGCTTAGTACTAGCTCCACTGTCTTCACCTTGCTCTCTTCTTTTTCCAACTTATTTGAGATACATTTAAATCCATATGAAACAATGACTTTACTTTGTTAAGGTACCCATTAAAATGTCATACGATAGGTTGGTTTGGGACAATCAACTAGCTCCATTGTCTTCACCTTGCTCTCTTCTTTTTCTAGTTGTGGTGGTGAAGCAACATCACTAAACCCGTATTCAACTAGCTCCTCTGTCTTTACATTCTGAACCTCTTGCCGTGGTGGTGATTAGGCTCGCGATCATACTCAACTAGCTCTTTTGTCAGTATATCTTGCATCTCTCGCCATGGTGGTTATCCAAGACTAAGCTCACGATCATACCAAGACTAGGCTCGTGATCATACCAAACTAGCTCCTCTGTCTTTACATCTTGATTCTCTATCTAGCTGTGGTGGTTATAAAAGTCTAGGCTCGCAATCATACCAAACTAGCTCTTTTGTTCTATATCTTGCATCTCTGGCTGTGATGGTGACACAAGACTTTCCTCATGATCATACTCAACTAGCTCTTTTTACTACTCTAGTAACTCTGGCTGTGGTGGTGAAACTGGCGATACAAGACAATGCTGATACTTAACTTGAATTTCCGGCTCTGGTGGTGATACAAGACTAGGTTCATAAGCAGTTGCAAAGGCATAGAATCTTCTTCTACAAGATAGATATTCCACCTCCTTTTGCCATAACGCGCCATTACCATAATTACTGCCTTATCATCAAACCTGCCAAGAGCAGTCATCAAAAGTTCCCTAGTGGGCATGATTCCGAAAAGTCGTACTGAAATCGGAGGCTCTACAAACTCGGTGAGAGACAGAGATATGGTGAACATCATAGTCCAAGACTTTGATTTTCCATACTCTCATAACCCAGAGGTCTAAATCACCATACCAGCTGTCTCGGAGTACGATTCCAAGTTGATGTTGGCCATTCAAAGCCCCGAAACCAACTATTTCTTTCTCTTTAACACCAGCATGATCTGGCCGTGCCATCTGCCTGAACACTCCATCAGCCAAATCAAAGTAAAGAATCCCCTCTCGTAATCCCCTCAAACTCTCAAATTCGTTAGTAGACAACCAATGAGGCACCCCGCACACAACTGTTCCTACTTCAGGTTTCACATGATGTAGTACTTTATATGACAAGCCTTCTTCAACCTGTTTACTTCTACCTGTCCTGAAATTCACTACGAAAACTTTTGCCTTACCATCAAAACTAGCATAATTAGCATAATCATAAATAGTTAAAACTACACTGTATTCATTACAGGATGCATTATAGCAGAGCCCTGACAGCAGACGACCGTCACAATAATTATAATCCTCCGGATAAATACTGATGTGCTTTTTCGTTACAGGATTCCACAATATGAATTCATTATAACAGTCACGTAAACTCAAGGATACTAACCCATTGCCAGAACCAAGAATTTCAGGTTTTGCTGAACAGCTTTTACCTCGACGACACTTGTGAGGAGTCTGAGGATTTTCCAATTCCGCAGAGGCTGCTGCTTTCAGATTGAAAAGATTATTATAACTTCCAAGGTATAGTTGGTCACTTTCTAAGAAGATTAGGTGATCATCCGCTACTCGGTGAAGACGGCGTTGATGAGAACAATGTGTCTGCATAAACTGCTCGCTGGATAATATTGAATTCCATTCTTTGTTAACAGCCTTGAAACGAAAAACAGATTTAGCTGGCAATATGTAAAATATTTCTTGTATGATTTCGTTTGGAAGAGAAAAAGATTTCAGTATGTGTGCAAACTCTTGTTTTTTGGGACTGTTCTTGTTCATGGTTTTACTGATGTAAAACGCTACGGTTGGTTGGGGAAGATTTTCGTGGGTTAGGGTTTTCAAAAGAATCTTCTGTGTTTGTATATTGAAACAACTAATCATATCATATCATATAAGATAAGTTTAAAAAAAAAATTAAAAAAAAAAAATCCATACGGAGTATAATATATGATAACTACTATATAAACTAATAAAAGTAGTAGGATTAGTTGGGCTACAGGATATGATTTTTTTTCTTTAGGAAAAATATATGATAACTGCAGGCTTGTTCGTACAATAAAATATTATTCATCAATTATAAAGTTAACCTAAAATGAGCAAAAGTTACTTTAATATGAATAAAAGTTACGCTAACATAGTAACATAAATAAAAGTTACGAATTATTTATACTTTATTGATAATAGTTACTCAATAAATTTTAAAAGTGACCCTAAATTTAATAAAAGTAACCCCTGGTGTACTATAAGATGTATACAAAAGTCAAATAAAAATAATAGTTAAGACTTTTTCATTGTCAATTTTCAAAAGACTAGCTATTAATTCTTTTTATCAATATATCATAAAGAATACGAAAACAAATAAAGAATACAAATTCTTATACGTGGTTGGCTACACTGTGTGTGTGGCTAGCCATCATAGGGGTTACTTTGTTAGTTTGATAGGGGTTACTCACTTACTTGGTCATGGTTAAAGGAGTTACTTGGTGTGTTATAGGGATCACTTGCTTAATATTACAAGGGTTACTTAGTGTTCTAGGGGTTATTTTGTTTTTTTATAAATGGTCACACGGTAAAGTCAGCCACACACAAGATGAGAGCTAAAGAAAGAATCAAACGAATCCTAAAACAGATAAATACGGAGTATACTTGTTAGAGTTGAATAAATACAAATTAGATATGGTATATACTACGTATTACTTATATGAATAAAACTTATATGAATAAAGAAGAATAGTTAAAATAAAAAATAAAAAAAGTTTATCTTCATTACCTTTCCTTTCCATTTCAAATTTTTTTTTTTTTAAAAATCATCAAATATCAATTTCACAATGATTCCTTATGGTAAAACAGAATCATTGGCAGGAATGACAGCATATAATCTCATACGTTATGCAATCATCTGAATAATAGATTGGATTCAATACTAAAAATTAGAACTATGTCCTTGGTAAAGGTTCCATCAGATTACACTGAAATTAAAAAAAAAAAAAAAAAAAAATTAAGTTTCAGCATAATTCATTACCAGCAAGCTACAGAATGTGATGTGTGTCAGACTGATAATCATGCACCTTATCAGACATAAACAAATAAATAGATATGTTTTAACAAATAAAATTGTTAGAAATACCTTTGAATGATGAATTTGTTTGAGCTCATGATTAAATTGATAGGCGAAGGAAGTTCTAAAACAGCAACTCAAAAGTCTCGAAGACTAAACTTACAAAATCTCACTAGCTTAACTCCAATTTGTTGATCTTAAAACCAGAGAGAAGCTATTCCTTTGAGCAAAATTGGAAAAATAGGATAGTACTATAGTAGTACATCCAAACAGTCCTGAACTCCTGATAAATTATGCTTGCTGATAATGATGCAACTTATACAGTAAAACCTTTCCTGCTGCATTCCCTGCAGCCATGAAACCACCAGCAGGACTAAAATCCAAACATCTTGGATAATGTAGTGTTTTGTTTGCAGGAGGCCAGTTAGAAAAGACGGTAAATGAAGGGATGTGAACCAGCTTTAGGCTGCTCTTCTGCATAGTTGAACAGATGGCTAATATCTGGGAATCATGGTTGAATTTCATGAAACTTGCTTCAGTTCTGAGATGCTCAAGTGTTTTCATTGGTTTTCTCTTACCACCCAAAAATTCCTCCCTGTTGTAAACATTAACTATTCCACTCGATGAGCCAGCTGCAAATAGATTCCCTACTGGAGCAGTACAAAGAGCAGTGCCATTAATGGAGCCCTCGTCCATACCCTTATGGAGACAAGTTCTCGTTCTTAAATCCCAGTGGTAGACGTGCCCATCACTACCAGAACTCAACAATTGCTGCCCGTCATCAGTAAATGCTAGTGAACGAGCTGTTCCATTTATTTTAAGGGTGCCAATCAGTTCCTTTGTTTTAGCAGATACCAATAAGATGTAACCTTCATTTCCCAAAAAGGCTATAGTAAATGCTAGTGAACGAGCTGTTCCATTTATTTTTCTTGCCATCAATTTGAAAAAACCTCAGCTTTCTGTCTAATCCAGCAGCAAGGAGTAACTGATGATTTCTGTGAAACCGGACAGAGTTTATTGGGCCATTAGAAGGGTCTTCTGCATTTGCGTCTACTAATCTCGAGTACTCAAGGATTCCAGGCGAAAGCTTTCCACCCCTCTTCACCACAAGCTCTTCATTAGTTTTAAGAATATCATCAACACTTTTATACCCTGAAGCAACCACTGCCCCATTTTCTACCTCAGAATCCTCATCGGAATCATATGTTCTGACCTTCGAATCAAGATTGGCCCAATCTGTGCCAGGGATTTAGTTTCGCATGGTGAGCCCTCAACCTTGACACATACGCAGAACCAGATATAATGGTCTCATCTTTCTCCTTCCTCAGCTTCCTCAGCCTATTAACCTTTGAAATATTAACAACAGTTTCCTCCTCATCATCCATCCAAGCAGGCTTCCTTTGCTTATCACCATCTTCATCAGCAGATCCCACTTGATAACCCCCATCTTCTTCATTAATCAACACATCTTTATTACCAGAGCGGTCCAAGACAAACAATGCAGAGTCATCCACATCCAACACACCTTTTTCATCTTCATCTTCATCTTCCTTTCCAAATTTAACAGGGGAATGAAGAGAACCAAACAAAAAAAATCCCCAACTTCTGCATTTCCAATTCTTCCTCAGCAAGAATTTTCCTTTCCTCCGCATCATTCTTCTTCTTTCTTTTCTTATGACTTACAGCAGCTTCAACATCAGAACCTTCATTCTCTAAAATCTCCTCCCTATCTTCCATCAAGGAAGGCTCCTCACCCTCATCACCACTCCGCTTACCCTTTTTCTTCTCTTTAATCTTAACAACAGCATTTTGAGAGATTAAACTCATTTCTACTGCACAAAAACGTTCACTCTTGGCTGCAAATCAAATTAAATCATTTTTAAAAAATCAATCACTTCAAATTTGATCTAAAAAAACTCCAGAAAAGCTTACAAAAATCCCATCAGTAAAATTACACAAACTAAACCAAAGAATTACGAAAATAACATAACCTCGCATAAATTCATGTAAACAAATAAAAACTACAACTTTTTTCAGGAAAATAACACATCTCGACTATACAAAATTTACAACTTCTTGGCTTCAAATCAGCCCAAAAGACAATTTTTAACAAAATTTCTTATTAAAATCAAGTATGCGAACATCAAATAACTGAATGATTCAGAGAGAGAGAGAGAGAATCCCAATCAGACAGTAGCAATTGACAACTTTACCAAGCCCGCCCTAGACCAGGACATGAGTCACAGGACCGGCCACCCTAGAAAACCTAGGCTATTAGCAAAGAACACACACTTCAACTAAATACATCTAAATCCCAATTAGGGACAGAATTAAAACGTAGGTCACACCGTCACACTCAACCCTGTTAATAGAAGTCCAAAACAAATATGCTACATCTCAATATCAACAAATAGGGTTAACTAGACGAGCTTCCCCCAGTTCATATGTCTTATGAACGATTTTTGTTCATAAGATGGCATTTTCGTTAATATTCAAGCATCTTTCAATATTTTAATATTTTCATGTTTTGTAGCTGACATGACACATAACTGTTAACTGTTAACGTCTGTTTTCCCTTCTTCCTCATCCTTCCTTGTCAACATAACAATGGCAAAATTTTTACCAACATCTCAGACAACAACCCAACACCAAGACATACAGGAACCCCGACCCACCATTTCATCGGCCGTTTCCGGCGGCTCCGCCGCCAAATTTTACGAAAACCCTGAGGAAAAAGTGAGAAATATAGGGCAATGTTAACCCCAAAGGGTAGGTATTTTATCTTAGGAGCCGTCAATCCATTGAGCTGAGCTTCGTCGGATCTGAAAAGTGTTGAGCTTTGCTAGGTAATTGTACCAAATTTGACCAAATTCGAATCCTCCAATCTACCCTATTAGCAATGAAATTCCTAATTTGCGACGCTTCAAATTCTGTCAAAGGAACAATTCTACAGAAAGAAGAGTGAGAATTGCAGCAAAAGATCTTGGGAATCAACAATGGAGGTCGAGATTGATTGCAGATGAAGGTGGTGGTTGCTTCCAGGAAAAGCGAGCGAGAATTAAGGGTTTAAGATGAATTCAATCAATTTTGGACCAATTGGGGTTCGATTAAAGATGAACAAAAAGGGTACAGAGGAGAGTGAAAGAGAGGAGAAGAGAAGGAATTGAACAAGGGAAAGATGATAATGGAGTGTTGTTCTTCAATGCCATTTTTGCATTTCAATTCGTAAGTTAACGCCGTTAGTCTGAAGTTAACACCCATATTTCACTGTGCCGACTTTACTCTTAGTAAAGGGGGCAAAATGACGCTCGTAACCTCTTATGAAGGCTGATGAACGAGGATTTTCTCTAACTAGACTATCAATTTCCACATCAAAGCGACTACCAACTTACGTAACATCCCTAATTCAAATCTTAATTGATACCTTAACAGCCTAAGTGCCTAATCACTAATCCTTCATCTTAGTATTTACCAGTTAGCTTCCTGTTTTCAGCAGCATTATTTCCTTTTATTTCCCCTTGTTATAACAATTACAGTATCACAAACCTTATTCTCCTCTTATAGCTTGGCATTACCCGAATTCACACGATTTCGTACATTAATAAGCAATCATTGCAATGTCTCATACTAATTTTTGTAACACCATTACTAAGAATTTTATCAGCTCAGCCCGTATCGAAACGACGGCAACGAGGGCAGTCACCCAGGCACACTGAATCGA